CCCCCCCCCCCCATTTAACAAGGTTCTTCCTAAATCCTGTCCCTGGCATAGTATCTTTGAGATGTATATTCAACTGATTACAGTATATTATGTTGCTAAGCTCTTCCCAAGGCACAGAACTTCCCTTTCCTTCAGAGGTAGATTAAGCATTTCTTTGTAAATCTCTTCCCAGGACACAGATCCTCCCTTCCAATCACCAGCCTAGGAATTGTGGAACCCACCTATAAGCTACAAGCCTCTGCTTCCACATGTTCTGCCTTTTTGGGCCAGACCAATGGAAAAACCTCTTCACTAAACTTTGTCAATCTCGAAAACAAATAAAAGGAACCCCTGAATGTGATCACCCTGAGAAAGGCATGTATGTATCTTCTCCGGGCCTAGGTCACTAATATTTGGCTTGGAAATAAACCACATTAATTATTAATTATTAATTTTTACAGTTGGTTATTTTTCCGTCGACACTTCCTAGACACATTATTTCATTGCGACTGAACAAAAAAGACATACATTTCTGAGGAGAAAGCAAAGACAGATGAGTAAGTCTCAGGAGTCTAACTTTCCACAGAAGAAATCCTAAGAATGCCGAAAAGAAGGAAGACTGCTTATCATGGGAGCGGTTGTTTTCCATGAAGTTAACACATCTTGTGATACAGGTGAGTGGGTCCTGAGAGTAAATGCTCCCACTCCAGAGGCCAGTAATTCAGAATGCTAATCTCAGTTATTCCACTCAGGTGCTGAGTAAATTACTTCATTCAGAGCTGCTCCCATTTCTCCCAGCCAAGGATTACACACTTAAAAAAACAAAATGCTCAAATTAGAATGCCTGCTTTATTGTTATTTATGCTTACTCTTATTTTTCCCACATAGCCATGTGAGTGAGTAATAGTGACATCATCCCCAAAACAAAGTCCTTTGCACAAACTCTGCTACAAGAGTGCACATGTTCTTCAGACCCCTACTTCACTTCCTGTATGAGTTATCTCTCTATTTTTAGAGATTTTCTCTTTTTCTTCCTAAATCAACCGTACCAGTCTTATCAAGAGTCTCATCAATACTTCTCATGTTCACCATTCCCATAAAAAAAATTTCCAGTCTTATTTCATGTGAGACAAGTTGGAAGAGAAACAAAAAAAGCAACATAAAATGGAGTAGAGTTGACCAGATTGTGGCTTGGTGGTAAAACATGACTCACACCAGGGGGTTCCATGTTCCCACCTGGACACTTCCCCTGAGTGCACCGAGCACATGTGTGTCCATGATGCAGAGCTGGCCGAAGCTGGGTGTGGACTGTGGTCTCCAGATGCTATTGGGGGTGCTGTCTCTCTCTCTCACACACACACTCTTTTTCTCTCTTTCCATCTTCCCACTCATGGGAGAAATAAATAATAAACTAACGAAAAGGAATAAGGTAAAATTTAAAACATGCATATCCAAAAGCTCAGGTAATTCTTAAAGAGATCAGAATGTATGAAGAAGCAGGTGGCGCAGTGGTTAAGGCACTGAATTCCTAAGTGGTCAATCACAGTTTGAGTCCCTGACCCAGGAGCTTGAAACTCACGTTGGTTGTGTGTGCATGTGTGCTTAAAATCCCAAGAGGAGAATGGAGGAGAAGAGATTGCAATGTGGCCATTCCCCGGGAAGTGGTTTCTCAGTTTCTGTCTCTCTATCTCTCTCTGTCTCTCCGTTAGCACAAACACTTTATGGCAAGAATCTCTCTCTATTGGAAAAAAAAATATATGTATATATGTTCATATATATATGACAATGCAAGACATAGAAGGTAAGTAAGCTAGTACTAAGAGGAAGGTTGACAGGAAAGGTACAAATTCTCTTTAGAGAGAAAAGCACATTCTTACAGAGGGAAGAAGGGGATTTTACCCTTGAAGTCCGTACCTGATGGACTGTGTCACCCAGGCCCTCACCTTTTGTGTGTGGAGAACAGCCTGTGCAATTGCTAATGATAAACAACATCAGACATCTGAGAAATAATTAACTGCTTGTCCTTCATCTTCTGCCTGCAATTAGACAATTGTAGGTGCAATTATTTGTGTGTGCAATTTTCCAACAACAAATAATTGTGACTTAAGAACTACCTGCATTGTGAAAGGGATGTGTAATTGGGGCCCCTCTTTAATAAGTTAGTGCTTAAAGTGTAAGCAAGTATATAATTGGATTAGTCAAAAAACACACATGACTTTTTAAAATTACATTTTTATATTTTAATAGGTGCTTTCCCTAGCCCATTTGTGGGCCTCATGGCAGCGTCATTGGCATGGTACAATCATAATTAAAGTCCAAGTAAGAAATATCACATCGCAGATGAACCAACCATGAGTCCTCTCCAGACTTTGTTGGTACCCTACAGCCAACACGGAAGAGGCACAAATAAAAGACCTGGAAGCTCAAGGATGCAAATTATTATCTTGCTTAAAATGTGAAGAAATCAACCCAAGGGCACCCAGCCCATTGCCCGACATGTGGGAGGCACCCAGCAGGTATTAATATTTCCTAAATTGACACTTCCCACCTCTGTGCTCCCACAGCATTTAAAACCTAACATTATGTAGCCCTCTGCATGTTTCTGTTTGCTTATTTATCTATCTTTTCCCATCTTATGCAGTGTGGGAGAAAAATGCCCATGTCTTTTTCCTCTTATATTGGGTCATCAGGAAAATCATGATGTGTTTTTGCATAGAGAAACACATCATGACTTTTCCTACGACCTAATATTTTCTTCAGCATATATATATATCTCTTCAGTGAAAGAATACCAACTCAAAGAGAAAGCGAGAAATCAAGCCACCAGGTTTGGGCCTTGAACCATTGTTGACTACGTGGGAATCCAGTGCCTTTGTACCTTCAACCACTATGCCACCTGCTGGCCACAGAATTTTAGATAATTTTAATGTACTACAAATAGTATGATTCTTTTATTCTTATTCTTTTATTTCTTTTCAATCATTTAAAAATATAAAAACTGCTCTTAGGAACTATACAGGCTAGCTTTGACCCTCAAACTGTTTTGTTTGCTTTCTGGTTTAGTTATTTTTCCAAGGGCACACAACTAAACATGGTGGACCCTAGCTTCAGGCTCAGATGCCAAGACTCACATCTGCACACTCAACACACTATGTCAGCCTCCTTTTATCTTTGTAAAAATGTGTTGCTGCTAAAGAATTGAATGAGAACTGTAAAGAAACATTTAAAACTGAAATAAGCAAAGGGGAGTACTGGACATCATTTCCATGCCACGCTGGAGACTCCAGCAATGATTTGATCAGGGCATTTTGCAACTTCGTATGTCGTGGCAAACGGTGGCAGTGCAAACAGTTTTGAATGTAGAGACATGGTAGTCCTCCCTTAGCCACAGGGGGACACATTCCAGGACCTGAGTGGACAACTGAAACCACAGAGAGTACCCAACAGCAAGGAGACTTTGTTTTTTCTATGTATAAATTCATACCTATGAGAAAGTCTAATTTACACATTAGACCCAGTAAAAGATGAGCAACAATAACTAATAATGTAATACAACAATTATAACAATAATGTAATACGTATTATGTGAATACGATCTCAGACTCAAAATATGTTCATTGTACTGTACTTACTCACTTATTTTGGGACTTTGGGTGACCATAGGTAACTAAAACTGCAAAATGTGAAATCATGAAAAATGGTGGAAAGGGCCTACTGTGTGTAAGCTCTCTCTGGTAGGTTGAAAATGCCCCGCCCCCCTGGCTTTGTATTTTTTTGGAGAGATTTTCACTGTAGGGCACATGCACTCGCCAGACAGACAGAGAGAGACATAGAGACAGAAAGCGAGAAATCACCCCCCCAGGGGGGATGGTCACACCGCAATCCCCTCTCCTCCATTCTCCTCTCGGGATCTTGGGCACGCACGCACACGTGCCCGGCGTGAGTTTTAAGCCACCGGGTCCGGGACACGAACCGCGGTCGACTACGTGGGAATCCAGTGACATAGCCATTACGCTAACTGCTGGTTCCCTGTATTCATTTGTATATTAATTTCAGTTTTCCTGATCTCTCTCTCTCTCTCTCTATCTATGCCACGTCTTTGGATTTGAACTGGTTATCACAGATCTGGGTCCCTTAGTCAACTATTTAAACAATATCTTGTACATGTATTCATTATAACTAATGAGAGGCATGATTTTTACCTTTTTGAAAATTATCCTCTAGCAGTTTTGGAAGCCTTGCACTGAGTTGCTAAGTGGATTCAGCAGGTAGAACCAGGTAACATCCTCAATAACAATGGTACCTCCTGGGCAGCCGATGTCCAGGCCCATCTGCTCTTAATTTCTAGAGGTGAATTCTAAGTGGTGAGAGAACTTTGCTTACACCTTGTTTTCACACTTTAATTTTCTCTCTAATAATTTCGTAGGATTTGAGTTCTGATTTTTGCCAGAGTTCATGTGCATTTGCCAAAGAGGAAACGAGAGAAGGCATCCTCCCCGCATGGAGCATGGTGATGCTGTCATCCTTTTTCCTTCATTTCCCCATCCCCAAGGACTTAGGGCAGGCAGGCTCAGTGAGTTTTCCCAGCCAACAGGGCCAGGATTCGGACTTGGGTTAGTTCTGTGGGATTGGGATCCCTGCGCGCTGTGCTCACCTGCTGTGCCACAGGATCGGCCCTTTTTTGTTTTGATCTGTTTATGGCTGATACTTTTTTTCCCCCACGTGGCAGCAATGACTTGGAATTTGGTTTATGCTCTGACCATTTGGTGAGTGCCGTAAATGTATTATTGAATTAGAGAGATTTATTCTCTAAGTGATCTGTTCAGCTTTTCATGTTCATTTGTATGTGCATTTGACTATTTTGAACTAAATCAAAGTCAGAGAAAGAAGGAAACTGAAAGTGCTCAACTGCTGACTTCGAAGGTAGGGAATGGGCTAGCAGCCCGAGAATGTAGGGGACCTCTAGAAGGTGGAAAGGCAAAGAAATGCATTTTCCCCCTAGAGCTTCCAAAGGAATGCAGCCCTTTTATTTAGACCCTTAAGGCCCATCTCAGACTTGTGACCCTCAGAACTGTAAACTAATAAATTTGTGTTATTTTAGGCCACTAAATTTGTGGAAATTTGTTAAAGTAGCAGTTAAAAATTAATACAGAGTCTCCACTTAATACATACTGGTTATCCTCACCCTATGGCTGAAACGGAAAGATTAGAGGATATAGAAACACAGAAAATGGTTATGGATACTGGATATAGTGTGGGAAGAGGGTGGGAGAAGGAGAGTCTGAGGAAAGACATTAAGGAGAAAAACGAGAGGCCAGACATTTATGGAACACAGAAATGGATTATTATCTGTTGATGGTAACATGTACAGTATCCCTTGTGACCCTCAGAACTGTAAACTAATAAATTTGTGTTATTTTAGGCCACTAAATTTGTGGAAATTTGTTAAAGTAGCAGTTAAAAATTAATACAGAGTCTCCACTTAATACATACTGGTTATCCTCACCCTATGGCTGAAACGGAAAGATTAGAGGATATAGAAACACAGAAAATGGTTATGGATACTGGATATAGTGTGGGAAGAGGGTGGGAGAAGGAGAGTCTGAGGAAAGACATTAAGGAGAAAAACGAGAGGCCAGACATTTATGGAACACAGAAATGGATTATTATCTGTTGATGGTAACATGTACAGTATCCCCAGCTGGACTGGTGTGAAGTGGATTCCTGTTGGAAAATGCACTTTACAAGCTAAGTGAACGTATGAAAGAAGTTAAATTAAAATGAAATATTAAAAAAAGAAAATTAATACAGGGGCAAGAAGATGTTCCTTCATTTTTACTATTTCTGGCCCACTGCACATTTCATATCATTGGAAAAATCTGTTATGCAACCAAAGCCTGGAATGTCATTTTTGAGAATGATGCTCATTTAATTAGGTATCATAAGCACTTGTATGGAACTAAGATTGACTCTATGAAGCCAAAGATCACAAAGCCCTTCCAGGAAAACTGTCCTACATTTGGCTTAAAGGATCCAGTCTTGCAGGTAAGAGAAATTTGTCTAATTTTATAAGGGCTCTAAATGAAACCAGGTGTAATCTTTTTTTGGTTATGGTTTTCTAACTTCAGAATAGCAAATAATCTAGGCCTTTGAAAGTCCCATTGGATTCTGTATGAAACTTCCAGCACAGCAAACCCAGCACAGCTTGTCTAATAGATTAACGCTCTTGCTACACCTGTGCAAACGAGCACGCCGAAGTTAAAGAAACTAGTCTTACTCCATGATCGCGATTAAAATCAAGCCTACCTTTGAGATTATTTTTACCATAAAGAAGATTATGGTCAAAATTTAAGACTTCAAAACAAGTAAAAGAGACTACTGGACATTCTTTTAACAAAATGCTAGTGTCTTTAGAAACTAAAGGATTCTATAGAGATTTCATTTTGTCTTGACTAGGCTGTATTATGACTCTGTACGTTATAGAAAACTGATAGCAATGCAAATAATTTTTGTCCAAAGACATGCAAATAAATTCTCTATCTGGTGATGGAGAAACAATCGTCATTTGCATCTATTTGATAATTAATTTCAGTATTCCTGATCCAGAAATATATTTGGTTTTGGATTCTTCCTTGAAACATTTGTAATGTCTGCCTGATCCCTCAGTAAAAGGATGAGATAGATTTTTTTTTAAATTGCCAAAATGTGCATATGTTCATCAAAGAGAGACAGAGAGGAGACTGAGAAAGCACCCCTGAATGGGGTATAGTCATAACATAATTTCTTTCCCTTAATTTTTCCTCGTTTTAGGATTTGGGCATGTGCACCTGTTTTCCAAGCCACTGGGGCAAGGATTCCAACTGCAGCTAGCCATGTGAGATCCAGCTCCCTTAATTACTGGGCCACAAGGCTGGCCCTAAATAAAATTTTTTTAAAGAATTATTTTATTTAACTTTATTTACTTATTTTTAATTTGATCAGAGAGGAACACAGAGAGAGAGAGAAAGTGAGAAACCAAGCCCCCAGGTCCAGGACTTGAACCACGGTTGGCCATGTGGAAGTCCAGCACCCTTAACCACCATTCCACCTGCCAGCCCTAAAATTTTTAATACACGTTCATTTTACATCTGGATGATAGTTATAATTTCATTTTTTAAAAAGTTATCCTTTACCCAGATTTCAATAAATCGTATTATTAATATTCTTAAATGCTTTCATTTAAGGAAGCTTATTATTTTGTGCCATCCATTTTATGGCCAACTATAATTATTCAAAACCTACTTCATCAGGGTCAGCAGGTGGTGTAGTGGTTAAGGTGTTGGACTCACTCCCACATGACTGACCCCAGTTCAAGTCCTGGATCTGGCAGCTTAAAACTTAGGCCAGGCATGTGTGCATGTGTGCCCCAAATCCCCAAGAGGAGAATGGAGAAGAGGGGATTCTGGCATGGCCATCACCAGGGGGGTGATTTCTCACTTTCTCTCTCTCTGTCTCTGGAGAATGCACATATTCTATAGCAAAAATCTCTCAAAATAAAAAATGACTTCATCTATTAATTCGAAATCAGCATCTTATGATTTCACCT